TCACTTTCAAACATTCCTGCATCAACACATGCACTTTTGCAGGTCACTCATATCCAAATTATAACACCCTCTGCCACTTCTATTTTTCAGTCTCATACCTTCCACCTTGAAGATATCTCAGAATGTTTTGCTGGTGCCCCTCTGACTTCCAGTCTCACATTTTCCCAATCCATCTAATCCATTATTAACATATGGTCAGATATTATCATCTTCTCAACAAAAATCTTTGATTTTTCACAATGGTTTCTAGAAATAAAGGCCAAACTCCTTAACATTGCATTTATGATCCTTCTTGATTGTTTCTGACCTCTTATTTCACTGCTTAGAACCTTTAGTTCTTCACGTCATTCTCCAAACATGCCCTGTACATTCTCCCCTTTGAATCTGTGGCCTGTCCCCTCTGTCTGGTAGGTCCTTGCATCATCTTCATCTGCTGAAAATCTCCCAATCCTTTAATGGTTAGTTCTGATGCCACCCTTTCTGGTACCTCAAGTCCCCTCAACTGGAATTCATTTCACCTTCTTTGTTCCCATAGTGCTTTTTTATGATAGCAAATTTAACTTTAGATTTTACAAAGTCTTATTTGCATGCGCTTAGATTCAGAGGATGAGAAAAAAGATATTTGTTTTTCATACCCTGTAGCATTGGTAAAATTTGGTAGGTTGCTGACAAAAATTGTTAGGATTAAAGTTTAAGTTTTCATACTTACTGAAATTTCACACAGTGAATGTTTAATAAAATAGTAAAACAAGCCTTTCTAATTCAACTATAAGTCCCTTTTGGGCTCTTTCTGGCTCTTTCAGGCTTGGAGAGGAGTAATTTCACCCACCCAGGAGAAGTTCATCCCTGCTTAGGCATCACAATCAGTGAATACATTACTGAGAAATTCAGGTGTATTAATTACATCCTATATCCTGTGAATTTTAAAGTTGGAAACAGATAACCAAATGGATTGGAGAAAAATCCATTTATATATGAAATTCAAATCGAAATATACTAAGCATTGAAAATCAGCACATTTGTGACTGTGGGGTGGAGATGGGAGATAATCAGGGCATATTATCAAGTTTCTATTAAGAACAAGCATTGGAGATAGAGGGTGTCATTGTCTAGAGACACCAGATAATAATACAATAAAAAATCCTTCATGAAAGTACTATGTGCAGAGTTCTCTAGTTGTACAGGAAAGTCATATTCAAATAAATGATCCTGCAGGATGAAAATGTGTTTATTGGGTAAAAAGAGGGCAAGAAAATTCCATGCCAAGGAATTTTGAGGAGCAAAAGGACATGGCATATATGAAAAGTGATGAGTGGCCCGAGATAGCTAATGTACAAGGGGAGAGAATGAGGTGATGCGGGAAAAATAAAAAGTCCACAAATTAGGAAGAGTTCTATATTCCATAAGAAGAAGTTAGTGTTTGTCTTCCTCTGGGTGGTGGGGGTTTGGTCAGAGGAACAACATGGTCATCTTTGTGCTTTTGAGACATCATGCTGCAATCAATGGGGAAGGCAGAGTGGAGGCAGAGGCATGTGGTGAAGCAATTGTGACAGCCTAGGTGAGAAACTGTAAGAATGTGGGTTCTGTCCATGGAGGTAAGGGTGAAAAGGAGAAGATATAGTCAGGAGATATTTGGGTGAAGAAATCCAAAGATTTATTAACTGTGAGGTTAAATAAAAAACAGATTTAAAAATGGCTCTGGTTTCTAGCTAAAGTTAGATGATGATAAAAGAAGTGATAGAATGAAAAAGTAGCAGTTTTAAAAAGAGAGGTTTGGGTTTTAAATGAAATGTTTCTGAGACATCCAAATGAAAATATCAGTTGGAAAGACAATTAAAAATATATATCTGGAATAAACAACTGGGTACTGGAGAAACAGATTTGGGGATCCTAGATGCAGTCAATCCACATTATTTGCAGTTTTAATATTAGGAAATTTGCCTGCTGCTAACATTTTTAAAATTTGTCATTCACAATCAGTATTTGCAGTGCTTTTGTGGTCATTCACAGACATGCCCAGAGAAGCAAAAACTGTGAGTCATCAAATGAACATGTTTCCACCTGAGGTCAAAAAAGGTGATGCTTTGCCTTTTTGCTTCAGCTCTTAGTTAAATTAGAAACAAATGTCTTTTTTAGTAATCTATTTAGTGTCGTGTTTTTAATATCTTTGTGCTTTCCTTTGGTGGTTTTACTATTCAAAATGGCCCACAAGAGGCTGGGGTTGTGGCTCAGTGGTACAGTGCTTACCTAGCATGTGTGAGGCACTGGTTTGGATTCTCAGCACCACATATAAATAAACAAAGATCCATCAACAACTAATAAAATATTTTTTAAATGGCCCATAAGTATAGTGCTGAAGTGCTATCTAAAGTTCCCATGTGGATATGCTTTAATGAGAAAGCACAATGAGTGTTAGATTATCTTCCTTCTGGAATGAGTTGTAGTGCTGTTGGCTGTGTGTTCAATGTCAATGAATCAACAGTATATATTAAATAAGGTGCCTTTATGCAAAAACAGGTGTAAAATGTGGTTATATATTGATTTACTGAAAATGTAACCAGAATCTCTTAGGAACCCTCACCATGTATTTCCCATAACAACAATGATCCTGTACTCAGCAGTTCAGTGTTTCCTGTGACTTTGTAACATACCTGTACTATGAATAATGAAAATGTATAATACTCCTATTATTAACATACCTACTATTTAAACACATAGTGTAAATTTACTACTTACTCTTTACTCTGTAAGAGTAGATACGAGAGAGGATGATATAAATAGTAAAAGCATATGCAGCATAAAAATAAGAGGGCCAAAGTCAGAATCCTAGGGAACATTATTTAGAGGGTGAACAGAAGATAAAACCATAGAGGGTGTTCAAAAGGGATGATCAGGTCAAAAAAGGATGTTGAGAAGCATCCTGAGGAAATCTCAGGAAAGGGATAGTCATCAGTGTTAGGAGCTGCAGAAGAAAGAAAGATGGTATAAAAAGAAAAGTATGTACTTTTGAATGCAATGGACCTGAATTTAAAACTTATTAGTCACCTAATAGCTGAGTGACATGAGAAAACTCATCCTATTTCTCTGGTCCTCAATTATTTCCTTTACAAAACAAAGACAACATCTTCCCCAGAAAGCTCTGTAGATTATACAAAATGACATATGCAATCCATAAAAATACCAACTATATATTCTATGTCCTATAAATATTAAATATAAATATTTTTAAAAAACAAGCTGAAAATCTCTTAAAAGATAGAACAAAGCCATTGTGTGTTACAGTGATCTTTGATGTTGGCCTCAGTGGTATCTAGCATAAGTAAAATTAAACAAATGTGAGTCCCATTTCAGTTGGAGTTGGAAATAGTTTATAAATGGACAGGCCTGTATTTCTTTCTGTCTCTCCTGAAGATCTGATGAAGATCTCTTTGATTTATCCTTACCTTCCATGAATGAAAAATGAGCTTTGAAGACAGTCAAATCTGACTTTGGGGTATGGATCTCTCTTGCCTTCATTCATCCATCTACTCATTCAACACTTAAAAGTACTTAAAAGTACAGGTTCCTTCTGAATCTGGCTGAAGCCTATGTAAATTGATGGTCTAGATCTGTTTCTGCCCTACTACCCCATAACCATCTTTTGTAATTTCTCCCAAATTTCAACCCTGTATTACTCTGCTGACATAAATAATGATAGTTCAAATATCTATGTCTTGGTACTTACCCTTGCCTTTACTTGTGGTCCTTTCTGGTCCAAGTTCTACTGGAAGTACTTCCCCCTCAAGACTCAGCTGAAATGGCACTGGTCAATTCTTGTTAAAGATAGAGCTAGGGATATTTAGTGCAAAATTTTGCATTAAAAAGAGTATCAGAACAACAAATGCATGGTTTAGAATCTGGTATTCCATTTAGTAGAGAGTGAATTTAGTCATTACATATATTTTCTTTGGTATAACATAGTAATTGCTAACTTTATAGAGAGATAGATGAGATTGCATATGGAATACATTCTGGGGCAGAAAAAAAAATCTCTAGCTGGGCCTAAGAATTAAACTGATATAAAACAGCTTAACAGGAGAAAAATGTGCAAATTTTAAATAAAATTTTACATGTACATGGGTGTCTACCAAAGAAAATGAAGGAAGATGAAGACCTGAATAAGCATCTGGGTTTATATACTAGACTGAACAAAGAGTGGAAGTTTTGGAAAAGGAACTAGGAAGGTGTGGGTTAGTTTTAAGTGGTCTGTTTGTACAGACTTCTCTGGGCCTGGACTCCTTGTCTTTAGCGGTTAAGACTTCTTTCCAGGGAAGGCATCTTTCACATGAGGATTGTTTCTTCCTTTCAGAAAGAGAAAGGAAGGTCAGAGTGATCTTCTTGCACCTGCTGTTGTGCCTTTGGCTAAAAATAATTAACACGCCAAAGCAGCATATTTGGCGGATATATTTTCTGAGCTCCAACATTTGCATAGTGCGCACAGTAGACACCAACAGAATATTCCCCCTTCAAACCCACCCCAAGTTCCTCCTATAACACTTCCTCAAAACTCTACTAAAAATTACATGTTATTGTCTGTTTACATCTTTCTTTTGCCCTCTAGATTGTGAGATTCACAATGACTGGGACTATTTCTTTTTGCTTTCATATCGCGAATGCATAAAAGTACTCGGGATATGACAGATGTTTAAATAAATCCCAGTTGAATAAAGAAGGATTAACGGTCTCCAGTTGGATTGTAAATTTTCAGGGTGCTCTTTGTTCCCAATGCCAATCCATGCTGTGAAGGCCATGTGCTGTTCAGTCCTTGACAGGGAGGAGAGAATTTGACTACCACTAGGCAGGTGAGGTCGAATGTTCACCTGATCAAACATCCAGAGACCTTTTCCTTGCTGAATTAGGAACGGGCAAGTCATCGCTGCTCTTTAGGGCAGTCTACAGCGCCTTCAAGCGTTTAGCAGCGTGAACTCCAGACTGAAGCCGAAAAATATTAAGGAAAGTAGACTGACAGGCGAGAAAGTGCGGGCCGGACGCAAGCGCTCGGGAACTGCACCGCAAGCGCGCCCCGTGGCGTTCCGCCCCGTCCCCGGGAGTTCACGGCGCGGCTCCGCCCCTTCTCGCAGTTGCTAAGCAACTACCCCGGAAGTCACAGGAAGCGCGTCCGCGGCGGGCGCCGCGAGCCGGCGGAAAATGGTGGTGTTCCAGAGCCGGAGGAGCAGGAAAGGAGGTCTTCTAAGCCAGGGCCCCCGAGCGCGCGGGACTTACAGGTGCGCGAGTTGCTGAAGCCAAGGGTGCTGCCGCGGGCGGGGCGGGGCCGGTGACAGCGCGAGCGGGCGTGGGTCAGAGGCCCCTTTAGTTCGGCTGAGCCCTTTCCCGACTTCCTCTAGGGATGGAATTGAGACTCCTGCTTGGGGGTCACTCCAGGGAAGTGCATTGCACGGTGGTGGATGTGGAAACAGGTGCCTGGGTGCACCTCGTCTCCCTTTTACCCCGTGTTTAGTGCACGAAGCAGCTGTTAGTTTGCAATGGCGTTTTGCGGCATCGGGCGAGCTTCCTTCCCGAGACTTGGGAGAAGGAATTAGTATGGATGGTAATAAATCCGCAGACACTTAGAAAGTAATAATGGGTGCTGGCTTTTTCTTGTCTCGGTTGCCCTTTCTAACTTTATGACTTAAATGTAAAAGTGGCTCCTTTCCGTCAAGTATCTTTTTTGGAAGGGGGGAGGGTGAACTAAAGCAATTCATCCTACAGACGTGTATAAGGTGATTGTGAAGAGTAGTCTCTAAAACAGTGCACTTAGAAATGGGGGAGGGAAATAAAAACTTTGTATTGTTATAGGACACTGACTTGGTTGGCTAAATACCAGTGAACCAAATCTTATTGTTTATCAGAGGCTAACACCACTTGGCTAATGCTTGTCTTTTTTCTGCCCTCTTATAAAATCATTGATAAAACTCAACAAATAAATCTAAGGAGCTGTCATTAAAAATAAATGCGATTGAATCCACAACCGTTGACATAACGTTGTATTTATAGCCACATTTTGATTCTACTTCTTTGAACAAACATACTGACCACCTGCCATTAACTTACTGCTAAGCTTTGGGAAATGCAGAGATAAATAGGACATCTAACCCATAGTCTGTGCTGGAATACTGTGGAAAGTTATTAAATGAAATTGTAGGAGGCTGCCAATTTAAGGAGGGCATCTAGATTGGGCCCAACAGACCAAAGCATACAGAACTTAACTATAACTCAGCTTTGATTGGTTACATGTGGCCCTGTACCCACTTAAGTAGTTAAGCTGTTAATGGTTGATTGACCAAGCAGTAGCTAATTAAGTTTTCTGAGCCTCCCTTCCATTTTTCTTTAAATGTTATAGGATCACATTGTTGCTTGGAGTTTTCCTAACCTGCTTTGGTTTTGGGAATCTCCCCTTCATAAGTTATTTTGCTTGGCTTTATTTTACTAATAAGTAAATTCTGCTAAATCTAGTTTGTCTGAGGAATATCCCTTTTTAAATAGTACAGAAGTATAAAAGGCATTTCTACCTTTTGGAAACCTTCATACTTTTTTGGAGAAATAGGATAACATTTAATGATGTATCATTGAGGACTGAAAGTAGTAGTTCATAAGGTAGAGAATTTGGAGAATGAAGAGATCATTTTAATGTTAGATGAACTCAATGTTAGTTCCAGTGCCTGTAGTTTTTTCAGTAGTAAATAAAAGCAAAGAACAGACAGCTTCTATTTACCTCATCTTTTCTAATAGAGAACTAAGGGCAGTGTGAGGTGTTGAGAAAATGAATTAGTGGCTAGATCAACTTTGGTTTGCATTTTGGTCATGCCACTTCACAGTTGTGTGAATTTAGGAGAAATGTCTTCTCTCAGCCTCATTGTCATCATTTGTAAACGGAAGGTGTGATAGTGATGGTGGGGGTATGGGGATTAAGTAATGCCTATGGAGGAACTCCACAAATCCCTATATTATCCTTGGGCTCAGCCCTTTTACTATGTAGTCACTGTTTAGTACCATTAAAGTTAAAATAACCTCAGACCCTTTTCTAATTTAAACCCACTTTCTTTTATGTGCACAGTGAGCACTTGCTATTTGGCAGATTGCTTGCATACTTAATCCAGTGGATTATTAATGATTTGAGATGTTCTGATGTTAATTTCGAGAATATCTTCATTTCCCCCCTAAATTGGAAGATTCTTTTTTCATCTCCTATCTGCTTTATGGTAGGTAGGTCAGTAGGAATGTGATTAATTTATGAATGTGATTTGTTATATCAAATACTGTATTTATTGATAATCTTTCCCTTAGAATCCAATTAGAATATAAAAAGACTTATAAGAAATTTAAAAATAATGTAAATGATGATTATATCAAGAAATAAAGTATATTAACAAAGGTTAAAATAATTGGATAATGTTCTTACCAACTGGTTTCATGGACATTGATTACTTATGGATTATCTTGTTTAATCTAGACCTGTTTAAGTGGCTACCCAGTTAAGTGCAATTTTCAGTAGATTCTTCTTACTTCCCTCATTATAGCTCCCTGTAGGGAGGGGAAATTCCTGGGACTGGTTACCTTGGCAACAGGTTGGAGCAGGGGCAAGTTCTTGATAAGATACCTCAGGGGACAGTCTCCAACTTCCCAGACTCACTCAAAATTGGCCTCCTAGATCCAACCTGACTTGATTTACCTATCTACACTGACTGCCTGTCTAATTCTGGCTTCATAATTATGTTCTGTGGGAAAGTTTGGGCTAGTACTGTTAGTGACAAGAGTAAGTCTAAAAACATCTCTGCTGCTTAGTAGTATTTCTGAATGTTTGCAAGATCTTTGTGTGTTTTGGGACCCTTCAGTTCATCCACACACAGGGTTTAGCTTTACATTTCATTAAGATATTGTTTGTTTCTGTTGCAGTTTTCCTCCAGAATAATGTCAAAAGGAAAAAGTTTCTGTTCTTAATCCTTTGCTTCCATACTAAGATTCGAATTTGGGGTAGAGTGTGGATTAGGGATAACCAATATTAAGGAATTGGATTTGAATTAATTGGATGGTCTTGATAATACTGTAAGTCAGGAAAGATTAAGAATGTCTAATACTGTGTTAAAATTGCCACCAGTATCCTAATCATGTTATATATCGTTATTCTGTAATATTGGTTCTCAACTTTAGTTTGTATCACCAGGAAGACTTGTTAAAGCAGGTTGGGCCTTGCCCCAGCTTTAATTCATTAGAAATAGAGTAAGACTAGAGTATATGTATTTCTCACAAATTCCCAAGTGATATTGGTGTAGCTATTCTGGATAATAAACCCTTATTACATTCTGTAGCACTTTTCACCATAAGGCTGAGAGTATAAGTATTGCTAACCTCTTGCTGCATACTTGATTGTCTTTAGTTACTTTGCTTCAGTTTTGTTTTTCCATTTTTTAATTTGTTTTGCTTCAGTTTTTAAAGTTCTTCACATATCAAATTCTAAAGGAAAGATTATCAGTACAGGTTAAGTATTCCCATAGCCTAAAATCTTGGGAGCAGAAATTTTTCAGATTTGGGATTTTTTTCAGATTTTGAAATTTTTGCATAAATTTTACCAGTTGAGTATCCCTAACCTAAAAATCTAAACCCCAAAATGGTCCAAAGTCTAAAACTTTTGGAGTGCCAGCATGATGTACTCTCTCTGTATTATAGAAACCTTTTCTTAAATTTTGAGATTTTATTGTTAGTATATTGATATTGACAGTACTTCAATTAATTTTGATCGATATAAAATAATATTTTTGTGGTGTCATCTGCTATATCAAATATATAAATTACACTTTTAAAATATTTACTAATGAATTTATGTTATATGATACAACATGGCATCAACTTCCTCTAAATATCATTTATTTACCTCTAAGTTAATGATATGTCGTAAGTAACTAAACCTTTCAGCCAGGTAGACTCCTTACTGTGGTTATCATTTTCCCAGTATTCTTATTTTGTTAATATGTTTCACATTCCATGAAGGCAAAGGCATTACTTTATTTATTCTTTTATTTTTCAGAAGGAAAATATTATTTTATTGGCAGCATTTATTCAAATCTTAAAGCAGAAAACAAGGAAAAGAAATATAGCAAAATCTCAATTAAAAAATATATAAATCTGTATCTCTGATTCATGTGTTAGTCTTTCAAAACTCAATGTGGATGTTAAGTGCCAAATAAGTACTATGTTAGAAATAGCTTGGGAAACTTAAAATGTAAGAGCAAAAGTACACAATTACAGATTGAGCATCTCTAATCAGAAAATCCCAAATGCTCCAAAATCCTTAATGGTTTTAAAACATGAATTTTGGATTTTGGAGCATTTCAGGTTTTAGAATTTTGGACTAGAGATGCTCAACCAGTAGATTCTGTGCAATTATTCCAAAATATAGAACTTTGAAACCTAAAGCATTCTATTACAAGCCTTTCAGTTAAGAGATACTTAACCTATAATGACAAAATGATATACTATGAGGATTTAGAAAAGAAAATTAGATTTAGTTAAGAAAATTAGAAAAGCTTTCACATAGGTTGTTTGAGAAGGCCCAAATACAGATAACATTTGGCATCAAGGGGAATAGGAATAATATAAAAGTAATTCTTAGAGCTGAAATAATATAATCAGCTACATAGGAAATCTACCAAAGAACATAATTCTGAATGAAGAGATTTTAGGGAGGTAAAATTGCTGAAAACTTTACATTCACATCATTGTTCACAGGTTTTTACCATTTCCCACCTCTTTGTTTTTTCAAGGGTAGGATAATAAAGGACAGTAAGCAGATACATAGGTAACACTACTGGAAGAAATCTTGGGAAAAAGGAATCATTGATACAATCAATGCAAAACATTTTTAAAATAATAATCTTTTAGGAATGGAACCAACTTGCTTTGTGCTTTACATACCTTATGAATTTTTTATAGACATTTAAAGATTTGAGAACTACGGCTAAAAGAGCTTAGGTAATTTGTCCACAGTTACACAGTAAGCACCTAAATTAAGATTTGACTTCAGTTCTTTAAGATTATAAAGCAATTTATAATTTGAATTAGAAATCTAAAATTCCATGTTAGAAGTATGAAAATAGTTGTACTTGTGAGGGCGTAGTAGGGATTAAAAAAATTAGAAAAAGTAGAGCCTTTCATTTTTGTCTTCTTTTATGTATAATTTATAAGTCTACTACTTCCATCTTCAACAGGTTGACTCTTCCCTAATCCTTGGCTCTTCTTTTTGTACTGAGGAAAGAATTTAATTCATGGAAATGGTTTTCATATTTCCTGTGCTTCCAAAAGGAGCACTTTATCAGTCTTGTTTGTTTTTGACCAAAAAATCCTAAGGACTATGGTTATTCTAGTTGTAATTGAATAGCCTAGCCACAAAGGACATTAAGGAAAAATTTTGAGTTATTGTCCAGATGTCAAAAGTGAAAAAAATACTGAAATATTGGAAATACTGTTTTTGAATTCCTTTTCTAGAACAAATATGGTTTATTTCATTTTGAAGATATCCAGATATATATCTATAATGTATAATTTGGTAAGATTGCTATCTAACTGATACATAAACCATATACATACACAAACACACTTAATTCATTTTCTTATTTCATTTTCAGAAACTCATTTTGCTAAATTTGATGAAATTTTATGTCTGGTAGACTTTTAAACAGTATTTTTGAAAAAATTTTATGTGCTTGAAATTTGAAAATACCTCAATTTATTTTAGGAGGTCTGATAAAAAAGCCCATATTCATGTGAAACATTTTCAAGAATTCTTAAGGCTTCTCACTCCCCAGATAGCTCACTTTCTCCCTTGAATATGTATGCCTTACTTTCCTAAATATGTCTTTGCCTCAAAAAAATATATATATTAAAAGAATTGGAGAATTATGGAGAATTATGTAGATATGAATTTTTAAGTGAATTCTTACCTAATATGGATTTTGAAACTTGGTAATTGAAAATAAGCAACTACTGTGACTTCATTTTGCATTTATAAATAGAATTTTGAATAATTTTATGAAATACACAATGAGTATATTTTGGAAGGGTTTATCTTTTGAAGCAACAGTCTTCATTTTTTCGTTAGAAGTCTTTCCCACTCAATTTCAAGTTAATATTTCTGTTCATAAGTAATACAGGAGAGTTTATTTCCAGTGTTATGCTTTATAACAAGTCTGTTATTGTGCAGTTGGCCTTGGCAGAATTGTATGAAGATGAAGTGAAATGCAAATCTTCCAAGTCTGATAGACCTAAACCTACCATCTTTAAGAGCCCACGAACACCACCTCAACGGTAAGTTTTGTTTTAAAAAACTATAGCCCTTTTAAACTTAGTAATCCCAAATTATTTTAAATGGTCTTGGGTTTTTTTTTAAACTATGATTTCTTAAAATTAATATTATTACTATTCTATTAATATTACTATTCCTAAAATTTTTATAGTCAAAATGCTAAGAGAAAATTACCTTAAATACCTGGTAAAATAGGCATCATATGAAATAATGTCTTGAATGCTGTTTTTCTTAGGCACAATGGTTCCTTAAATTTTTTTTTTTTTTTTTTTTTTTTTGAGTCATAGGACTCATTGAGGATCCAATGAAACCTGTGGGCCCTTTCCTTCCAAAGCTAAAATAATGTGTGATTTCATCAGTTTTTAAGGGTTCATTTGTTTCTTAAAGCCCATCGGTGAAGCTGTCTGGCTTTTTGTTGTCCGTTTAAGACTCTGTAACTTCTGACTCTACTTCTGTAGTATCATGCTTTGTCTAATAAACTACCTCCTGGATAGTATTTGCTATTGCCAAAATCCCTGCACTATAAAGAGAACCAGCTGTGGAGATTTAAGAGATAAGAATCAACTATACTTTATTGCCATGAATATTTTCATTAACACTTTGTCAGTACTAGAAATCTTATCCCTGTGGAGAAACTTGAGTTTTGTTGTTTTGTCTTATTCTCAGAAAGTCTGTAATTTTATCAGAAGTTAAAAAGTTACCTGGAAATCACTTTTTCTTATTTGTCCCTATACGTTCTTTTTGTAGGGGAGATAAAAATGACATGTTTTTCTGGACCTGAGTAAAAATAAAAACAATATTGATAACTTCTCTACCAACTTTTTATATTAAGAATTTGAAACCCACAAAAAATCTAAAGATTAGTTCAACAAGTGAATGCTGTATATAATTCATATGTATTCACCAATCATTACTGTGTTAAAACATTATAGTGGTGTACTTGCACTCTCATTTGTTTTACTCAACTATTTCAAAGGAAATTGTAGGCATCATGGCACTTTACCGCTATGTTCTTCAGCATGCATCCTCTAAGTACACACATCTTTGTAACCTTACTAACATATTATACCTTAAAATATTAACAGTGATGCAATGAGATATTGTCTTTACTCTTCTTACAACCTTTTCTTGTGATTAGGATCCAGCCAAGAACCATATACTGATTTTGATTAATCCTATTTTGAATCTTTGAAGCCTGACCATTCTCCCTTCCTTTTTATTGTTTGTTTTTAGCTTGCCTACATAATCTAAACTTTATTACGTTGTCTTTTTTAGGAGTCTAGACCAAATGTTTTATAAAATGTTCCACCTTCTAGATCATTGTTTTCTCATGATTAGATTCTTGTTAAAACATTTTTGTCAAAACTACTAGATAAGTGATACTGTTTGCTTTTTATTATATTACATCAGGAACCATATAATTTCAAGTTTTTCCACTATTGGTGAATATGTTCACTTGGTTAAGGTGCTGACCACCACATCACTCCATTGTAAGGTACAGTTTTTCTTTTGTAATCAGCAAGTTGGTATCTTGGCATGGTTTGAATATCCTATCCTATCATTTAATTCTTATTTGTTACATATACGTATATACATATAAACAACATAATTTTTTATTGCTTCCTTAATTTATGCATTCTCCCAAGTTTTAAAAGTACTGAATATATTTTTGTATGCCTAAGTTTTAATTATTAAATATTTGGTTTTTGCTTCCCCAGTTTGAATATATTTTGAATGACTTAATTTACTCTTGGTGTAGCAAATCCAAAATTTGAGTTTTTATAATAAAAGATAAAAGTATTACTAATTTTCTTACTATCCTTGTATAATCCTTAAGATATCAGTGGTTTTACTTTTTTTTTTTTTTTGCTGACATAATGTTGTTGTTAATAGTTAGATAATGTATTTTGTTCTGGTTTGGTTTTGGTGCTAGGGATTGAACCCTTATGGTAAGCATGCACTCTGCCACTGAGCTACACCTCCAACCAATAATGCGGTTTTTAAGGATTTTGTACCTCAGATTTTATCTCTAGAATTTTTATGTATTAAAAGGATAAACTCCCTTAAAAGGTGAGACTTATTACGCTATTTTTACTCACCTAAGATACAGTGTATAGCAAATTATTGGCAATCTTTTTTCTAAGTGATATTTTTCTAACACTGAAATATAAGCTTTCACATTCAGTATCATCATTTGCCCAGTGTCATTGTATTTCTATTGTTTATTTAGTATAGAAAATATTGTTTCTGTGTCTGCCTGCTTGAACACTGTTAGAAATCAAGACGGTTATATGTTCCTTGTCATTTTAAACTAATAGATTTTCATTGTCTGAAATTTTAGACATAATATTTTTGTTTTTAGTTTATAAGATAAGGTACATAATCCACAGAAAAACCTTCAAAATACAATACAACACCTACCTTAACATATTCACCCACAAAAATCTACATATCACACATAAAATTTTAACTGTCCTCTACAAAGTTGTATTCTGGTATTGTTTTCAGAATTAAATGAGATAAATTATATAAAGTGCCTAGTACACCATTGTACCTTAAAAGATTATTAGACTCTAGCTAGGTTTGGTGGTGTATTCCTATAATCCCAGCAAATTGGGGAGGATGAAGCAGCTGGATCATGAGTTCAAAGCCAGCCTCAGCAAAAGCAAGGCACTAAAGCAATTCAGCGAGACCCTGTCTCTAAATACAAAATAGGCCTGGGGATGTGGCTCAGTGGTTGAATGTCCCTGAGTTCAATCTCCAGTACCTAAAGTAAATAAATAATAAAGGTTATTAGAGTCTAGGCAAGTAAAGAAGACAAGGAACAAAATTCCAGGCATAGAGGAGAATATAATCGATATAACAGGAGAGATAGGAACCAACATTTATATGAGTCAAAAATAAGGTTGAATATTAAAAAAAAAAATGTTGGATAAGTTCTTCATGAGTGTATGAGCTGTGCTCTCTCTCACACAGGGCCCCACATTTAGAGCCCTGTGCTTCATTTATGCTTTACTGTTTTGAGAGCCTTAATAATTTTTTAATAAGGGACCTATATTTTTATTTTGTACTGGACCCAAGAAATTATGAAGCCAGTCATGGATATAGCCATATGATGTACATCCTGGAAAGCCAAAAAATGAGTTGCATAGGAACTATGGACACTAGTGATATAACTTAAGTATTTGGGTAATTATTGAGAATTAAAGAGACTAGCAAAGGAGAGTATACTCTTATACAATTCATATTAATTTTAGTTTGTTAAAAAGTGCCAGGTTAATGAAGTTGTGATTCTTTTGTTCTTAGAACTACTCCTGTGAGTATTTCTGTGTGAATTGACACTTGACAGAGGAAGGCTTCCATAGGCTCTTGCTCGGGGTAAACTTAGTACTTCTCCCTAGCACTGTTGGGATGAAAATCTGCCTCTCCCACAGCAGTTAATGGGGTTCTGCTAGTATCTACTTGTTTCTAGTGGGATTTTTTCCTTTGACTTACAGTGAACTGAGAGTTGATCAGCTGTTCCCTCTATCCTGTTCACTTTTGTATTTGCTAATTCTGAAAAAAAAAAAAAAAAATCTTGAAGGTGTCTTCTATTCCTAGTCTCCAGTGCTGGGATAATCTCCTCCTACCCCATGATAGTATTGTTTTGTGAGTCAGTTCAGTGTGAATTTGGAACTGGAATGGAAGGTATGAGTAATTAAATATGTGAACTTTGATTGGCATCTTATACTATAAGTCTCGATGGGGATACTTTGGTTATATTTAATGATACCCTTGATTGAAAAAATCTTGGAAGTAATCTTAGGTAAAGGAAATTTTTGTGTTTCCCCAGGAGCATTTATAAAGTTGGATGGGGATAAGTGCTGCATAGAAAATACACTGAAATTAGTCAGTGCATAGAAAATACACTGGAAAAAACTGCACATGATCCAAATTATTTTTTTAACACAGGAAATCATAATGGAGTAGGTCTTTTTTCAATCTAAAAATTTCTGAGGAATAAATCCTTTTTGTATAGAATTAGATGTTTACATTGTATAAATCTAGATATCTCTTCACTGACTAGGTTGCTACTAAGTGGGAATTCCTTGGTGGGGAAGACTAGCTTCTGATTGTAGATAATGCTTTTCCTCACTACATCAAAAGAGCCTGATTTGAAAAGAGGTGCATTTGATTAGCAGGCACAGAGAGCAGAGGGAGGAAGCAAATATATCATTTGCTATGCTACATGGGGAACTTGCTATCAGAATCTCTGCAAACTCAGTGAGAAAGTAATGAAATAAGCCAGTCCCAAAAAACCAAAGACCTAATGTTCTCTCCGATTTGTGGATGCTAATCCTTAACAAGGGAGGGTGGGGAGGTGAAGTGTAGAAGTTCACTGGATTAGACAAAGGAGAAAGAAGGGAAGGGAAGAAGGATGGGAATAGGAAAGACAGTAGAATGAATTGGACATAACTTTCCTATGCTCACATGTGAGTTCACAACCAGTGTAACTCCACATAGTGTACAACCACAGGAAGGGGATCCTAATTGGAATGGGTTGCACTCCATGTTTGCATAATATGTCAGAATTACACCCTGCTGTTATGTATATCTAAAAATAACAAATTAACAAAATAAAAGAAAGTATAGGAACTGTCTCCTGTTTGATCTTTTCCTTAATCTCGTTTTAAAAATTAAATACTTCACAGGAGTCAAGAATGCCTCATTTAAATATGTAGCTTCTTGTAAAGTAGCTTATGTCTGTTCTACATTTTTATTCATGAACTATACCATTTAAAGGTTTTATTCGGGTGAACATGATGGTTTACATATTGTTCGACCATCAACTGGGAAAATTGTGAATGAACTTTTCAAAGAGGCACGGGAACATGGGGCCGTCCCTCTGAATGAAGCCACACGATCTTCAAGTGAGGATAAATCCAAGGTTAGTATTATTTCTGTGTCTGATTTCATTAATATTATTTGCAAGCATTGTTTTTATAACCGTTTGTTTTAAATATTTCATTTTATGAGATTATAATCTAATAATGACTGAAAATTGAGGCAGTTTCTTAAATTTCTACATGATTTTTTTACCTTTTAATTTGGAAATAGGTTCAAAGGAATTTGCAACAAGATAGGTCCTATGCATGTACCTTTCATCTAGTTTTCGCCAATGATACCATTTTGTGTGATTACAGTGTAAGATCAAAGCCAGGAATTTTCTGTGGTTCCATATCATTTTATCACTTGTATAGATTTGTGCAATCACTAACACATTCAATAAAAGTTCTTCGTGGTGTTCCTTTTAATAATTATACCCACCACCTTCTCTCCTATTATCCCTAATCTCTGACCACTGCTAATCTATTTTCCATCTCCATAATTTTATAATATTCAGAATGTGATACAAATTGAATAATATATGACTTTTGGGGTGCATCCTTTTTCAAGCATAATCCCCTTGAGTTCCATCAGAATTATTGTATATTTCAGTATTTGTCCCCTTTTATTCCTGAGTAGCATTCTGTGGTATGGATATACCACTTTTTAAGTATTTATCTATTGAGGCACATTTTAGTTGTTTCTAGTTTAATTTGCATTTTCTTTTTCATGTGCTGCTTATTTGCCATTGTCTTTGTTATCTTTCTCAGTGAAATGTTTCTTTATGGCTTTTGCCTATTTTCTTTTGTTGTTTTTTGTGTTTTAAGACAGGCTTTTGCTACATTGCCAGGCTAGTCTTAAACTTTTGGATTCCAGCAATTCTGTTTTCTGAGTAGCTGGGACTACAGGCACACTTCAACTTGCCTTGTTGCACCATTTCTAACTGAACTGTTTTGTTACTGTTCAGTTTTGAGAAGTCTTTATATATTTTAATCAATATGGATTCTTGGGCACACATATGGTTTGCAAATATTTTTTCCCCGACACTGGAATTTGTATTTTCTTCCAGTTTTAAATTTTAAAATCCAATTTATCTTTTTCTATTATGGATCATGGTTTTGATGTTTAATTTTCATCTACCTTTAGGTATAAAGATTTTTTCCTATTATCTAGAAAAGTTCTATAGTTTCACATTTTATATTTAAACCTATTGCCCATTTTAAATTAATTTTTACAAGGCATGAGATTTATATCAAAATACAGTTTTCTAGATGGGCGAGGTGGCACACGCCTGTAATCCCAGTGACTTGGAAGACTGACACAGGAGGATCCCGAGTTCAGAGTCAGCTTAGCAACTTAGTGAGGCCCAAAGCAACTTAGAGAGACCCTGTCTTCAGATGTAAAATGGAAATGATTGGGGATGTGACAGGTTCAATGGTTAAGCCCTGGGTTCAATCCCTGGTTAAATATATATACATACATACATACATACGTTTTCCCCCATAAGGATGTCCACTTGCATTAGCATTGTTTGTTGAAAAGGGCTTTCTTCCTTCCATTGCATTGCTTTAAACAGTTTTTATAACTATACCAACTGATACAGTATTGGTATTTCGAAGACTTCAAGTGTCTTTGTGCATATATTTTTATAATCAGCATTTCTTAGTCTATAATTCCTCTCATCAAAATTATCTGGGGAGTTTTTCTAAACTACCATATGACTTTGAGGCTCAATAGATTTGAGTTGTACCTAGACATGTGTTATGAAAAGGCTTTTCTGATAATTTTGGTATTCATTGTTGAAAACCACTATTCTAAATGAAACCTAAATGTTAGTCTTCATTGTTTGTCAACCACTTGAAATTCTCTTTCAGTCAGGCCTTAAGGTTCTTTTAGTTTATATCAGTTCTCCAATTCTGGAAGAAAAATATGGAATTGATATGATTTAGTTTATAGAAAAAAAGCAATGTAATCATTAAAGACTCATTCAAGATACAAATGGTGATTAAAAGAAATGCTATTTTACTTCATAACTTATTTCTACCTCAGGAATAGAAGACCTTGTGGTGAGTACTACAAAAAATACAATCATAGCTAACTTCTTATACTTACGTAAACTTATAAAGTATGGAGACTTTTTTTCAAGGTTGTAGACTTATTTATAAAATCCTTTCTTTGTTCTGTAAAGCTCTTATAAGACATCATAAAATGTTTTCACATGTTTATACTTGAAAATACATTTCAGGGTATAAATGCATATCTTAGTTTTAGACACTAATGTTTTTGAGAAACAGACCTTAATTTCTTACTTAAGTACACTTTTCTATAATAGAAGAATTTTATACTACTATAAAATTTTCCTAAGAAGTATGAACCAATTTGGTAAATTATAATTTATCTAGTTTTAAAATATCAAATGTTATACACTTAGCTTAATATGTCTTGGTAAATTTTTAACTCACTTTCTGTGTATTTTAGTCATTTACAGGTGGAGGATACAGATTGGGTAATTCCTTTTGTAAGCGGTCTGAATATGTCTATGGAGAAAATCAGCTGCAAGATGTAGGTACAATAGTCACAATGAAAATGTATAGGCGTTTGCCTTCAGTACTATTTATTGTAAGATTTAAACTTAATATCTTTTGTTGTTTTTTAATTAACATTTAATAAAAGGACCAATATGTGGTTTTCAGTCTCAGTTTTAAGGTTTTTTAAAATCTCATTCATGCCTGGACATAGAGATTCATAACTAGTTGAAAGCATGTGTAATTCACTGTCAGAATTAACTTACATGTATAATAATATTTTAAATTATATTCTGTAATAGTAATACAATGAGCTGGATTATAAACATAGGACACTTAAAGTAATTCATTGTTTCTGTTGCCTTTGGAAATTTTGGAGTTAGAATTTCATTTTAAACATTAATAGTTCCTTGGGGTGTCACTAGAAGTTCAGTCTTGCCTCTTGGCTTGAATATTTAAGCTCTGGAATACAGAAGAGTTTGGGTAAGGTGGAAGAGAAGTGTAGGAGTAGCAGGATGGCAGCTGGATGCTGTCTTGTTGCTTTTGTTTTCTCAGTGTCACATGAGTAATTATACTTCAAGTCCAGGATCCACCTGCAGGACCTTTAGTATTTGCAACCTTTGTCAATTTGATAAGCTAAAAATAAATCTGCTAAGCAAACACACAGGGTTTCATGTCTTTTAACTATGAATAAAGAATAGTGCAAATGGCTCTCTATTTAAATAAATAAATGGTGTAATATGTTTTGAGAGATCACATTTGAAACTTAAAACTATGGAGATGGGTTTAACTTTTTATTTCTGTGTCCAAAAGGTTCAAATTTTGCTTAAACTGTGGAGCAATGGCTTCAGTTTAGATGATGGAGAATTGAGACCTTACAATGATCCAACAAATGCTCAATTTTTGGAATCTGTTAAGAGAGGGTAAGATATTTTATTTGTATTCTATTTGTTAGTTAGAATGGGACTTTTTAATTTTTATTTAGTTTTTTAAACAGACTGCCATTTAGTAGTGCATTACTAGTTTTTAAGAATGGAATACTGGAATATATTCGATAACTGACTACTGGGGAAATGCTTATTCTTTTTCTTTGTGGGGAAGGGGCATTGGATATTAGCCCCATTTTAAATCTGATGAAACTGTGGATTCAACTCCAAGAACAAACATCTTAATGTAATAAGTCATTGTATTAATGAGCACGTAGCTGCCCATCTACTAAGCCACTGTCCTGCTTACTGTTGACAGGGTGACTCATTGCATGTATGCCTGAAATTCAGCATCTTATATTAGAAAGCTTTTAAAGTGGCATTACTACTGGCAGAAGATTTCAAAAGGTTAGTTTGAAGTTATAATTTGTGGAAATAAACCATATATATATACAGTGCTCTGACCCATCCAAAGAACATTGTAACTCACCGGCCTTTCTTGCTAAAGGATGGGAAATCAATAGATTTTACCATAATAAAAGCTCTTCTGCATTGTGATTTCACTAGCTGATAATGGGATTATTATCATAATCCTAGGGTAGAACTACAACTAAATGTGTAAGGTTGACTCTCAATTAGGAGATTTAAGTAGCAGTAAGGGACCAGAGTAGATTATACTCTGTAGAAAATTGTAGATGGGGCCTTTCCAGGTGATGAAACATGTTCAGGAAGAGTGGCTGAAGTGGCTCAATTCTTTGGAGTTGAAGTGACCAAGACGGAAAGGCATTTGAGAAGATGAATTAGCATAAGTTTTGAAATAAATTCTGCACAGATATTGTCGGGATACCAAACAAAGGCAAGATATGCAATAAACAGTATACTGAACTCACTGAGAAGGTGGGTAGCAGTATATGATGGTAGCAAATACTCAAGTCAATTCTATGGACTCAAAAACTTACAGTCACTGGGAAGAGCTGGGTGGGGGAAATGTCTAGCTGCTAAGTGAAAACTAGTATTACTATTGAAATTGATACTAATTTCAAGATGGTAAAAAAACATATTACTATCAAGAAAAATTTTAGAAAAGTCTCTTTGAAGAAAATGAATATCAGCTAGTAGTTCTTAACTATAAAAACCCATTATCTCTTTTTTATAGTATTTTTAATACTGTCTTCATTATCTTAAAAGAACTTATAGATCATTTATATTCTTCTTGTTACACATTATTTCTTTTAAAAATGGATATATTATCTAAAATATATTGAAGAAATTAAGGTAAAGAGTTTATCACAATTTGTATTTCAGTTTGTAAATGTCCAAATATGAGCACACCGTAAGAGTAGTTAGATATAAGTTAGACATTTATAGTAGTTAGTGTATACCTCTGTGCAGTTTAGCAATTCTCTAAATGTGACAAGTATAAACAGAATAATGAGGTATGTGAAGTCGTCAGCTTAATTACTACAAGTGGCATTGCATTCAAGGACTTGATCAAGTTCTAGACAAAACAAAATGCAATCTTCCCTTGGTTTGTATGGTAGATATGCCTAGAAATGTCAAAATATATTAATGAAACACCTCAACAAGTGGATTTTATTTGTAGGACAGAAGTAGATTTGGGGCTGAAACATAATACAGTGTTGTCATCCATGTGAATCTCTGTCCGGGCACATGGTAAATCTGTGGAACCCAAGACAAGTCTTTGTTGTGTAAGACAAGTGCCCCCTTTGCCTGTAGCTCACATCTCTTGCGCCTGATGCTGAATGACAGCTGTGCTCACCAGTCACCTAGTGATTCAGGAACACCTGTGTTAGTTTTCAGAACTTTTTTCAGGGAGCTTAGAAGTAGACACTTAAATTAACTATTTGTCCTCATAGGAATTTTCTAATGCTAATTTAGCTATCAACTGCTATCTTACAATTTTAAAAATTTGGTTGTCACGGTGATAGCCAAAACATTGCTTTGCTGAGAATAGCTAAGAAACTGTGAGAAAGAGCAACTTGGACTAATCATGGAAATTTTTATAAGTTAAAAACTGTTGGTTTTTAGTGTAGCTTATAATCGATAACAGTAATCTCAACAATGTAGGTTAAGTTTTGAAAAACTTAACTAAAAGCTTCCTCCCCACTCCTTTTTTATTTTTATTTTTTTGTTTTTAAAGAGAGATTCCTCTGGAGCTTCAGCGACTGGTTCATGGTGGCCAAGTGAATTTGGATATGGAAGATCATCAGGATCAAGAATATATAAAACCTAGATTGAGATTCAAGGCTTTTAGCGGAGAAGGGCAAAAACTTGGAAGGTAAAATTCCTACAATGAGAAAAATTCTTCTTTGTCCAACCTGAATTTTCTTTGAGAATAAAAATACCAAAATGACTTGGGCAGTAAAAACTGAAGTATGAAGACCTTACTGGTGGAATTATATGTACAGAAAGGGGAAATAACTAGGGAATGATATTGGCCAGATTACATTGTGTGCATATATGAATATATAACAACAAATCCCACATCATAAGTAGTAGTTAGACATAAGTTACATTCTGTACAGCTATAATGCACCAATTAAAAAGAAGGGGAGAGAAAACAATGAATCAAACATGCAAATCTGATATTACTAGCAGGCAATATTTAGTAGCGATTATCACATTCCTGGTCCTCTAGGTACTTTGCATGCATTAACTCAGTAACAACTCTTTGATGTAGAGAAATATTATTACTCCATTTTGCAGATGCAGTAGTTTTCCTTAGGTGATTGAGTTGCTCATGAGCTTATGGGATTCAAACCCTGACACTCTGTAGTCTGTACTTTTCACCACTACTTGTTTCAGATTCCATGGTTTCAAAGGAAAATCATAAAGAGTTGTCAAATAGATAAAACAGTGTATAACCGACATCACAACTTTAAACATGCATATCTACCATAAGTAACCAATAAGCTGTGTTCCTGCACTAAATAGGAGCAGTGTGCTTAGATGAGTGGTTTCCAGTGATTTTTAAGCACCCACATTTTTTCTTTAAGTTATGAAAGCCCAATATGCAAAACCTGAGCTGCTCATAAATCTTATACATTTGTAAAAATTACCCTCTATCCACATATTGTAGATGATGTGAAATTGTGGCATTGGTGATGTTTCCAAAGCATACATCTTTCGAGCATCTTTTTTCTCCCCCACCCTCTCAGTGCTGGGATTGAACCCATACTAGGCATGCTCTACCTCTGATCTATATCCCCAAGTCATCTTTGTCTTGTGCACACTATCTATTCCCTTCTCCTTTCTCAAAATAGGAAGGAATTTAATATTGCTTCTTTATACTTTGCTACTCCTAGTCTCCTTTTCTGTGTACTTTTCCCCTGCTAGAAACTGGTTCCTCAGACATACCAGGGAGCCTGGAATTTTCGTTGACCCAGCTTTATTTTTTAGGATTCAAACCTGTCACTACCTGATCAAACTATACTTGGAGTCTTTCTCCTTCATTTCTTCTTACTGCCAACACAAGTCAGGACCACCACCACCACTTCCAGCCCGCAATACTGGGGGTTGAACCTGAACCCAGAGGTGCTCTACATCCTAAGCCCTTTTATTGTTTTATTTTGATACAGGGTCTTGCCTGTTAATCATTAGCCATATGGTCCAAGTTCTGATTATAGAACCAGGTTGGCCTTGAATTTGCAGTCCTCCTGCTGCCAAGCGACCAGCACGCTAGCTTCATAGTAGAGGTCCTAAACATAGAAGTTAACTAGTGAGATCAAAGTAAAGACACATAAACTCAATTTACCTTTTTCTTGCCCAGCTCAGAGACAGCCCTTCCTGGCTCCTGCCTCAAGCCACCTGGTGTGGTAGCAAGGTTTACACAAGAGATCAGCAGGAGAGAGGAAGAGCACGCCAGAGAGTGGGCTTTTATTGGGGAATAAGAAACTCAGTGGAAAATTCCATCCATTGAAGGTCGAGGGGGACAGCATTCCAAGGTCAGGATCAATGATTGGTCTCAGGGTCAATGGTCAGTCACACCCCTACACGGAAGGGCTCTTGCACCTAAAAAGGGTGGGGTTAAGTTCTGACACAGCTGGCCAGAACGCCTTACACCCAGTCAGGGAGGTACTCGATCACGTGTGAGAACATCACGTGTGAGAACGGCTTCCCACATCCTGCCTCAGTCCTTCTGAGTTAGTGGGATTACAGACATGCACCACTGTGCTCAACCAAGATTCTCTTGCATTGTGTTATTTCTTCACTCCTCTTGTTTATATACCTAGAAAACAGTCCTCCCCCATCACCACCACATTTTTTTGTTTGTTTGTTTTAGCCCTTCTCTCTTTGGCTTGGTATTTATTGAGATTATGATTTTAATTAGAAGGAATAAAATGCCCACTCATCTCTTTGCTACATACCTATTCTTTCTCTGTTACATAAATTTTAACCAAGAATTAATATTGGAATATACATCCTTTAAAAAGTATACTAAATCAGAATTTAGACTGAAGAAGGTAGTATAAAAGAAAAACAGCAATAAAAAAAAAAAGAAAAACAGGGCTGGGGTTGTGTCTCAGTGGTAGAGTGCTTACCTAGCATGTGTGAGGCGCTGGGTTCAAATCTTGGCACCGCATACAAATAAATAAAAGGAAAGGTCTATTGACACCTTAAAATAAATAAATAAAACTACTGTTTTTTCAAAAAAGAACAACTAAGAGCCAATGGTTATAATATGCAAATTCAATTCGTGAAAATAAGAGTATTATCTGATGATAGTATCACAAATCTCAGCCTTTTTCCTTGTAAGACAAATAGCTAGAGAAAATGACAGAAAAGAAAGAAATATCTAAAATCTAAAAGAGTGACCAAGATCAGTGGTGAGAATGCCTGTTAATCATTAGCCATATGGTCAGGGTTCTGATTATAGAAAACAATCTACTTGCTATTTAAACTAGTAAGGGGTTTCTTACATGGTTTGTAAAATTTCTGGGAAAGACAGCAAACCAAGATTTTCTTGGTCAGGAGATAGAAACACAATATAGCACTATTCTTAGAAAATACCTCCTGCCCCCGTCAGCTGTCCAGTACCCACAAAGCTAGGGAAGAAACACAAGAACATTCCATCATGATTTATGTAGAATAGCTGAATGCTTCCGCCACCCTGGTGATCAGAAGAGCTACATAGCTTCCGTTTCATAGGACTTATTTTGACCAAACAAGTTCAATCGTCCCTTGGTGTCTACTAGGGTTTAGTTCTAAGATCCCTGTACAGTACATACCAAAATCCATGGATACTCAAGTCCCTTTATCTAGTATAGTCATGCCCTGCGTAATGACATCTCTGTCAAAAACAGATCACATATATGGTGATGGTCCATAGGATTATAATGGATCTGAAAAATTCCTATTGATTGGTGGAATAGTCACTTTAACATTATCGTACTACATAGTACATGTTTGTGGTGGTGCTGGTATAAACAAACCATCCATGCTGCCCCATACAAAAAAACTAGGGCACATACAATTACTTACAATGTATAATGTTTGGTGACCAATGACTAAGTTACTGGTTTTTATATTTACTATAAGTTTTATTGTTGTTTTAGAGTGTATTCCTACTTATAAAGAGAAAATTTACTATAAGGCAGTAGGCTGTGTTTATTGGCAGCAGTCTTAGACATCTCGTGTTTATCTCATCTCTTGCTTACATTATTTTCTTTGTGCTTGATTTGATTTTATATTTTGTTCATCATAGCTTTAGGTCGGACAGGCTATTCCATGTATGTACATTGTATAGGCTAGGTGTGTAAGTACAATCTGTGATCACACAGCAATGGAATCATCTAATGATACATTTCTTAAGTGACACTTAACTATTTTCTTATAACTTATATACATCCTCCCATACACTTTGTCATCCCTAGATTACTTATAATACCTAATACAATGTAAGTGCTATGTAAATAGTTATTATACTTTATTTAATGAATAATGACAATCCGTAGATGTAAGAACCTTCAGATATAAGGCAGATGTTATAGGTTTGTTTGGTATGAGGGTAGATTTATAAAAACCAAGCTACTGGGAATCTGAGAAATGTAATCTTTAAATTTTTCAGCTACACATATATAGAAAATTTAAACTAGAAAGAAATTTGGGTGGTAATGTAAGCCTTTATGCAGATGAACTCAAATGTTGATTGAGTAATATTTCTAAAAAAAGTGAAGGATCTCTAAAGTTTACATTAAGGTTTTACATTAAGAAATATTTTATGAGACAGAAGGTGGCAGACCGCATAAGGCCCCAAGTTTAATCCCCAGAACCAAAAAGAAAAGAAAGAAATATATTAAAATAAAAGTTTCATAGTGAAGCTTCATATTCTTGGAAAGTAACTTTCTAATATGATTCATTTCCCCAGAGTTGTAGGCAATTGTTTACAAAACACACAAAAAAAGAAGCAAATAAAGCAGAAAGGGCATTTTCTTCCATGGATGTCAGTCTAATTACAAACTGAACGTTACATTGATGAAAACTAACAGTTTTTTATTGTGATATGCCAATAATTATGGGGTAAATTTAAACACAATAAAAGCATTACCCAGTACTCTCATATAACAGAAGTAAACAATTCATAGATGGGAAACTGCACATTTCTATAATGAGAGAATAAATGTATTATTGAATAAAAGAGCTTGGTGCGTTATAATAAAGCCCTAAAAATAAAAGACCTAGAAAACACAATCATTTTGATAGGGTGGATTATAAGACATTCACCAAAGGCTTTTGAACTGTAATGATATGTCGTAACTTGAAGCAAATCTCTTAATGCTTAAAAAAATGGTCATCTCCTGTTTTCCTAAGACTCTGCTTGCTACCCTGTCCCACAAAGCCATAGCACATGAAGTTTGACTTCATCTTGGTCCCTGGATCCTTGTTTCATTTGCTGTGAAAAAGCTTTTTAGTTTTATTCCATCCCATTTATTGATTCTTGATTTTACTCTTGTGCTTTAGGAATCTTGTTGAAGAATTCCTAAGCTAACATGATGTAGATTTGGGCTTACTTTTTCTTCTAGTAGGTGCAGGGTTTCTGGTCTAATGTTGAGGTCCTTGATCCACTTTGAGTTTTGTGCAAGGGTCTAATTTCATTTTGTTGCATATGGATTTCCAGTTTTCCTAGCACCATTTGTTGAAGAGGCTATCTTTTCTCCAGTCTATACTTATGGGGCCTTTGTCTAGTGTGAGATGACTGTATTCATGTGTGTTTGTGTCTTCTCTGTTGCAAAATTGGTCTTTGTGTCTGTTTTTGTGCCAATACCATGTTGTTTTTGTTACTATAGCCCTGTAGTATAATTTCAAGTCTGATATTGTGATGCCTTCTGCTTCACTTTTCTCAATGAGGATTGCTTTGTCTACTCTGGGCCTCTCATTTTTCCAAATGAATTTTATGGTTGCTTTTTCTATTCTTATGAAGATATTAATTCTGCCTATCCAAGAACTTGGGAGATCTTTCCATTATCTAAGGTCGTCTTCAATTTCTTTCTTTAGTGTTCTGTAGTTTTCATTGTAAAGGTGTTTCACTGCTTTTGTTACATTGATTCCCATATATTTTTTTCAGGCTACTGTGAATGGGGTAGTTTTCTTAATTTCTCATTCAGTTTATTCATCACTGATGTATAAGAACACAATTGATTTACATGTGTTAATTTTACTCTGCTGAATTTATTTATGAGTTCTAGAAGTTTTCTAGTGGAATTTTTGCGTCTTCTATGTATAAAGTCATGTCATGTGCAAATAGGGATAATTTGAGTTTTTCTTTCTAACAGGAACTTTATTACTCTCTGCATCCAAGTCTATTAATGTCTCTATGTACCCTTCTCACCTTCATTGAATTTGAAGAAAAATGTGGTTTTCCTCCTATTTGAAGGAATTAGTACCCTCATATCCTTTCCTCTTATTTGCTTAGAAATGTTGTTTCACCAATTAACTTCACTTTCTTTAAAAAAATTTTTTTTAATGTAAAGCTTAAAACATTAAACCATTATGTAAAAATATTACTATGGTTTTATCAATTGAATGACAAACAGAAAGTTTTAAGTAGCAAATAAGTGTGACTTTGAAATCTCAGTAGTAAATTTAATTTTCTAAAATGGTTTGTTTAAACCATATCTTCATCTCATCCACTGTTTATCTCTGATTCTGAGCATGTCTTTTGATCTATGACTCAATCCTTTCTGAAAAAATGATATGGGGGCCTATATGATCTTGAAAGTTCATCCATGTCTGTTTCAAATGTTGTTCACATGATTTCATTTTGACATACATTTTAAAAAGAAACACATGATCGTTCTTTCCCTACCTGGTTTCCCCATTCTGTACTTTCATGTTTTAGAAGAAGCTTGTCTGATCGGAATTTCCTAAACACAAAACATTAGATTACAGAAGTATCAATCTGAGGCAGTTTTATATCATGGAAGTGAGCCCAAAACATTCCTCATTTATCAATAGGGTTAATGGGGCTAGCTTTTCTTTCCAGAGTTGTCCTTAGGATAAGAATTTTAATGTTCAGAGCTCACCTTCAAGTAGTAACAACTTAGTAAGATCATTGAAATGCCTTTGTATCCTAATGAATTTAATCTTTACAATAATAGTGCTCTTGTCTCTTTTACCAACAAGGAAACTGGGCACAGTGAGGGTTAGTGACCTGCCCAAGGTCACACACCTTATCAGTGGCAAATTATAACCAAGTAATCTGACTTCAGGATCTATGCTGTTAGCCATTATGCAGCATTGCATCACAGCATGATTTAAAGGAAATAATGTGATGTTGATGATGGTGGTAGATGGTGTTAATAATAATAATGTATGTAGCTGATTATTGGTGAGGTAGAGAAGGTCCTTAGCATTCTGTATCTTCTCTTTGATTTTCTTTCCTCTGCTTTGGGTAAAGGACACTGGACTATTGGTACAATAAACCAGCTTGGTCATGCAACTACTTAAGTCCTCAATTCCAAATTTGAGGGAAAAAATTTCTTAATGTCTGGTCATTTATTATAAATTGTTATTTTCTTTTTTTTCGTGTGTGCCATATATAGTCTCAGTTTATAAAATCTGTGTTAGGAAGTTGCGAAAGACAGGGAAAGTGTTAGCTAAAGAAAGCAGAAGTGAGTTGACTTACCTTACTGTATATTCTGAGAAACTTTCTGAATAGGAGAAAGAGGTATGATAAGTTTGGTTTTATTTTGCTCTAAAGCTCAAATGTTCATAGAACTTTCATATAAGAAATTAACTCATATAGAATCCATCTAATGCCCTTCAGTAGATGAATGGATTAAAAATGTGGCATTTATACACAATGGAATATTACTCAGCACTAAAAAATAACAAGATCATGGCATTTGCAGGCAATGGATGGCATTAGAGCAGATTATGCTAAGTGAAGTTAGCCAATCCCTAAAAAACAAATGCCGAATGTCTTCTCTGATATAAGGGGGCTGACTCAAAATGGGATAGGGAGGAAGAGCATGAGAAGAAGACTACCACTAAATAGGGAAGAGAGGTGGGAGGGAAAAAGAGGGAGAAGGGGAGTTGCACGGAAGATGGAAGGAGAATCTCATTGTTATACAGAATACATATATGATGTTGTGATGAGAAAAAGAAAAAAAAAGTGTGTCACATTAGATTGGATAGAGAGAAAGGATGGGAGAGGAGGGGAGAAGTAGGGAGGATAGGAAGGGCAGCAGAATAGAATAGACAATATGATTGATGTATGTACATTCCATGTATGTATTATATGTCAAAGTACATTCTGTCACATATGACTAAAAAAATGAAAAGAAATCGTATGGTTAAAAAAAAGAATCCATCTAAATCTCAATATTTTAGAATAAATGTTAACACTCTGAAAGAATCCCCCAAAATGAGATAATATTGATTTTATTTTTTTACAAAGAATTTGGCTCCATTTGTCCTAATTATAACCAAAAGATCACTCTATTTTGACATAAGCTTTTAATTTATAATGACCAATCATCTTGTTAGCATTAGAAAGCAATGTTCGAAAAAACTTCATTATAAATGTATCACCATGAACAAAAATACATTCTTTCTTAATACTTGGGTTTTTTTTCATTTTTGCGAAGCAGTAACTACTGAAATCAGATATTTTTAAATAATACTAACCAAACAATATTGTTTGATGCTGTTAGTATATGCAGTAATAGCTGCCACCTGAGACATTGTCTTCTACATGGCATATTAAGGACTTACAGGGGTAACATGCCTTCGTAACAGTATTATCTTCTCCTCCCCCATTTTATAAAGGATAGAACTAAATTCAAAGAAATTGACTTACTCAGTTTTACATAATTAACAGCTGAGATTTGAAATAAAGTTTATCTGTCATTCTTTGACATCAACTCAAATTTGCTTTGGTTTCTAACTAAACTGTTGAAATATCACAGAGATAAAGATGCAAAGGATGCAAACTTAGGTTTTTGAGAGATAAATAAATGAGCATCATAGGATCCCAACGAATTTTTTTTTAAGGGAGAGAGAATTTTTTTTTAATATTTATTTATTTTTCTTAGTTTTCGGTGGACACAACATCTTTGTTTGTGATGCTGAGGATTGAACCCGGGCCGCACGCATACCAGGCGAGCGCGCTACCGCTTGAGCCACATCCCCAGCCCCCAAAGAATTTTAATATAACAAAAGAGATTGAAAGAAGTGGAGGAAACTAAAATAGAATCATATTCTTCTTTGTCCAAAAGTTATATGAGGGATAACTTTAGAATCAGCTATAGATCTAAGTGTTTACTGTCTTTAGTTGGTCATGTCTAGTATATTCAGTTGTGTTCTAATTCTTAAATTCTTCTTTCTTAGCCTTACACCTGAGATAGTCAGTACACCTTCCTCCCCAGAAGAAGAGGATAAGTCAATACTTAATGCAGTTGTTCTTATTGATGATTCAGTGCCAACTACAAAAATTCAAATCAGGTTAGCAGATGGGAGTCGTCTGGTACAAAGATTCAATAGTACACACAGGTAAGCTGCTTTACCAGCCAAGTGTCTAGTTTGCTGTTACTAAACTAAGTAACACTGTATACAACTTGAGTAATACATAATATGACATTCTGTAGCTTCACTTTCAAAGTAAATTTTTGTCAGAAATATTTGAAAGGATCAAACCTGCTGGGCATGGTGGCACATACCTGTAATTCCATGGTCCTAGGAGGCTGACACAGGAAGCCAGCTACAGCAACTTAGTGAGACCCTCAGTAACTGGCAAGACCCTGACTCAAAATGAACTGGGGTTGTAGCTTAGTGGTAGAGCATCAGTGGGTTTAATCTTCAGTACAAAAAAATATAATAAGATAATAGCTGTGCATAAGAAATGAAATAGATGGTAATCCCTGTAAACCATCCAAATATTAATGTTAATTCAGCAATCATACAAAAACTAAGAGCTATAGTTTTGCATTGTTGCTAAAACCATATGAAGTAGAATCAGATGTAATTTAATATAAGTTTATGTGTCATTAACTATAATACTTCAGATAAACAATTTAAAATGTCCCTTTAATATTTATTTTTACTTTATTTGTTCATCGAAAAAGACTGTAAAGAATACATTTATAATTTTAGTTGAGTTACTATGCATGTGTAAAAGTGATTTTTAGAATTATTTCTACAACTTAACACTTTGCATAGTTTTAGACTCACCCTTCCATATGCCAGTCCAACTTACCTTTTTCTGAGTCATATGCTGCTAATATATTCTATATCCTAAAAAAACTATGGCCTAGACTTTCAATATAATAATATTGTTAATAACTTTTTTTAATAAGTTTTCTAAAGATTGTTTCTATTTTACAGTAAATGTTAGGTACACTCCAAAGTTAATATTCATATTTCACTTTGAAGAACTAAGATGAATTCTTCCATTGAAATTATTTTAATTTAAGAAAGTTACAGCATATTTATTTATTTATTTATTTATTTATTGTAATTGTAGATGTGTAGCATGCCTTTATTTTATTTGCTTATTTTTGTACATGGTGTTAAGGATCGAACCCAGTGCCACACACATGCTAGACAAGCACTCTGCCACTGAGCCCAAGCCCCAGCCCAAAGCATGTTTAAATCACAGTTGGAATTATGTAATTTTTTATTATGATTATATGATTGTAGCTAATAGCTTGCATGAAAATATGCATTTTCTATAACAAATTATTTTTGTCTTATTTCTTTAGGATACTGGATGTTCGGAACTTTATTATACAGTCCCGTCCTGAATTTGCAACTCTTGACTTCATTCTGGTGACTTCATTTCCAAATAAAGTGCTGACAGATGAAAGCCTGACACTACAAGAAGCAGATATTCTTAACACTGTGATACTCCAGCAACTAAAATAATATTGCTGCTGTCTATGCAATAGCATATAGGAATAGTTAATGTGCCATATTAATAAGAAAACTACTCCCAGCATAAAGACAACCAAATTTTTTTATTATTTCTACAAATAAGTTTTGGTTTTATTGTTTTTCTATCTTCCAGCCTTTAGATGAATTTGGACTACGGATAGATCTTGAGTTTGTTGCAGGGCTAGCTTCTGTTGATAGTTTTTAAATTCCTAGGCAAACCTGTTTGTTACATGCCCAGTGTTAATGTAGCAACATTTGTTTGCAGAGAAAATGAGCAAAACCCCTTTTTGATAAACTTATTGATGAAATTCACACTGAATTTTCCTGATGCAGCAGTGACCAGCAGTCATTAAAAATTCTTTTGATAAATAAGTTGAAATTTCTCTTTAATATATACTGAAAGTATCTGTATTCTGATTTTGAAATTTTTTTATTCTATAATTCTCCTATTAAGGTTTTACACATTCCTTTAGTTAACTGATTTAGTATTACAAAATATGATTTTTCGTTGTATTTTGTAAGTCATTGGTTCTTGAGAAGATATAGTAAGAAGCACTTTAAAATCAAGTAATTATAATCTCTCCCAGAGCCTGACTTGATCATGTTCATTTATTCATTCAACAGATATTTCTAAGGGATCAACTAAATACTATTGTTAAGTGCTCAATCCAGAATGTATTCTACTCCAGGAAAAAAAAAACAACTACTCTCTAAATACAGGAATATAACTTTAGTCAGATAAGACTGAATCTAAAGAATTAGCCCCATAAATATTTGCCATTTCTGCTGAAGCCAGGTACTTCCAAAATGGGGAAAGTTACATTAGGAATGAGGAGAAAGCTTTTCTTTTTCCCAGATGCCACTTCACCTTTGATCATCACTTCTGGTTAGTTTCATATTGCTGCCATAACAAATTATAGAACTTATAGTTTAAAGTAACAGATGTGGTATCTTTTAATTCTATAGATAAATGTTGAGCATGGCCTTCCTGTGTCAGAATGAAGGTGCTGGCAGGGCTGCATTCCTTTGAGGGGACTCTAGAGGCAAGTCATTTGCTTAGCCTTCCAGCCTCAAGAGTCCACCTGCATTCCTTAGCTTGTGGCCCCTTCTGCCATTTTAAAAACCGGCACCATTGCATCTCTCTTGACAATAGCCTGTAACACTTCTCTGGTTTTAAAGACTTGTGTGATTAGACTGGATCAACCAGATAATTTGGGATAATCTCCCTCATCTTAAGAACCATAGTAATCATATCTACAAAGTCGCCTTTACCATTTAAGGTTACATGTTCACAGGTTTGGGGATTAAGACATGAACATGGAGTAGACAAGTTAGTCTTATGCCTCTCTCAAGGATTCACATTCATTCCCCATCCAGAGGTGCTCAAAATTTTCAGCCTATTAAAACATCAACTCAAGAGTCTACAATATTACCTGAGTGTCAGCAGCTCAAAACCCAAGTTTCATTTAAATTCTCTAAGTTAAGTATAAGAGATGATCTGGGTATGATTCCTAGGCCATAATTCCTTTCCACCTTTGAACCTAGAAATTATCTGCTCTGAATTGTAATGGCAAAACAGCTGTAGAATAAAGTTAAACTCCTATTCAGAAAACAGGCAATGGAGTGAAGAAAGGAGCCGCTGGAGCCAACAGTTTACAAATCCAGCCAGGCACACTCCATTAGGTTTCATGGCCTGGGATTAATGTATGACTCATAGCTCAGTCCTCTAGGCTTGTGACTCCATCTCATCTTTCCTTTTCTCAAAAGTAGGACATGTTAGCAGCTGAATAGTTTTATCACCTTGTTTGTTCCTTTTTTAATGTCATATTCTATACCTTTCAGATTAAGATGGCAGACTTTCTGATGGTATAATATTGTCAAAAACTTGTGGGCCTCCTGCATATGTTGTGGAGATCCATTAGATAGGAGACTCCTCCACACATCTTCCTAAATAGTTTCATCTCTGTTTTTAGCTTTTCCTGAAACAATTGAGATCTGTGAGTCACACCCTTAATGTCTTCAGAGAGCCTTCTGTGTGATAGAATACTCACCTCTTGATTTTTCTGGGGTATCAGCAAAATGTTATATAGCCACACCCTTATATTTCTGTAGAGCAGGCTTTCCTGACAAAGACTCGCTAAATTTTAGTGTCTTGCCAGTGGGGTAGGCTGAGAATTTCCTAAGTCATCCAGGCCTAGATTCCTTGTGTTTATCTGTCTACTTTTACATTGGATTACAATCAGCTGGAAGAAAGCAGATCAGATCTTCTGATCTGCTTGGAAATAATTAAATGTTTAAGTTTACAGTTCATATATTATTTCTTCTAATAATCTATTCTCAGTCAATTTAGCTATTCACCCTAGAGAATACCTAAATCACTACCAAGCCCCTTAACTTCCTTCAAGCCCTCCTTTGCATTAACTTTCAGATTTCTATGAATGATCTCTTTAAGACAAATGAAACTCTTACTGTCGTGTCCCTCAGAATTCTTTTAGCCGATACCCACTGCTTAATTCTAAAGCCATTTCTACCTTTTTTGGTATTTGTTACCTGCTACCAAAAAGCATTCCACTTTCAGGTGTCTATGCACTGCCAGTTGACTTGAATGTGTTTCTGAGAGATTTGAGAGTCACCTTTCCCTGAGATCACTGGTTATTTCAAGGAGTGAGCTAGGTAGAGGTTTTAATCTTGGGAATACTACTAGAACTATTGCAGGATCAATGTATTGAATCTGTCCCTTCAGAGAATTCTTCTCAGTGTCACATAGAGGAAGAAGATTCTTCCTAAGTTTCTCTGCCACAATAGGAAGCCATATTCCTTTCCACTTATTAAAAATAACATAAATAATAAGAGTCCCAATTCAAAAATACTATCAGGGGGAAAAAAACTCCCTTTTAAATAGAGCAAAATCATCTTCCTAAGGAAACAAGAAATGAATTTTTATTTTTTCTCAGACAAGAAGTCTTACTATGTTGGGAGGCTGGCCTCAAACTCCTGGGCTCAAGCAATTCTCCTGCCTCAGCTTCCAGATTAGGTGGGATTATAGGTGCATGCCACCAGGCCTAACAAAAATAAGCTTTTTAAATAAAAGGGCATTGCCCTGTTTTGGATTAACAAAACAGGAAAAAAAAATAACCAAACCTTGTAAAATTATTTCAGATTTCCTTCTTATTATCAGTTACGTGGAGTGCCTATAGATGTACATATAAAAATAACTGCCATTTTTGTGTATAATAGTCTTCCAAAGTAGATTTACCTTAGAATTAAGTAGACACAACGTTTGAACAATACTTTCACTTGTGCTGCAGTGTTTTATTTCACTGAGAGTCATTTTCCTTATTTTTACTATCAGTCATTATAACTTTAAAATGTATAATCATCTCAAAAAAGATCATCACAATGAACAATTAGACAAATGTGAGACAGTTTTGCATGATATAAATAATTTAAAAGTTTGAAATGTGTGTATACCAATAAAGAATGTTATCACTGAAAGCTTTTAAAAATGTTTCACAGTTTCTTTGATTTGCAGTTCTGGTCGAGTAATTGAATAGATGATTTTAAATGTGATTAATTTCCTGCGATTTAATTGTGCTTTGTCCGTATTTTTGGAGAGCAGAGAAGGATCTCCTTTGCGTGAACTTAAAGTTTCCACACTTAATTAGCTATACAGTACATTTTCTGTTGTTAAATCATTGAATTAAGGAGTGTTTTATTAGGCAACATCAAAAGAGGGGTAGGAAGTAAAGTGTAGGACCAGTGCCGTTTTTCCTCACACAGTTCTCTTTCTTGTCCTTCTATGACTTCTCTACCTACGGTGGCACCATAGCACTGGTGAAAATGGCCTACAGTTCGAGAAGATATTTAAGACAGTGACTTTTTCTCACTCTGCTATTCAGAATAGAGTATTCAAAATATGTGCTGCATGTACTTTTTATTTGATATCTCTGTATTGACATTTTGGTTTGTGATCTGTGTACCTATATAGTGTAATTTTCAGTGTACCTTTTAGAACGTAATTATAAGATGTCCATTGTGGCTTCTATATTTAATATCTTTCCCATTTTATTTTTCAGTTTCATCTTTGGGGGAAAGGCTTGATTCTTTAAATCCTAATAGGTTTTGTCATTTTTATCCTATAATCAGGAATAGTAAAAACTATAGTTCTTAGTTTTCTATAGAAATTCGTTAATTAAAAAGTAGAAATTTAATAAGTACTGCAGATATTCAGATATCAGACTTAAAAGTAAAATTTCAAGCATATTTGAGAATAAGTGGAAGTCCTGCTGGAAGTAGCCTGGAATTTTTAAATGGGTATTGGGTTTCTGAGTAAAGGTAGTAAGATGAAATAATATCTTAAAGAAATGTTCATTCTTTTTTCAGAATTATATCAGGTTCAACATTCCGTGGGATAAGATGGTCATTTTTATTAATGCAATAAAATTATATGCAAATACCATGTTTTATATACGCTTTTATACAATACATAATATTGAAACTAGGAGGGATTTTTCACCCTTGAAAACTTATTCTAAATTTTCATAGATGTTAGTGTTCGAAATATTGTGTAGATAGCAATTCAAACTAGTTTGACTATATTCTTTAATGTTAAGCATGTGATTCACTTTCATAAGGAGTACATATTTTAGAGATAACTGAATTTATCATTTACTGAAGGGCTACCTACAAGGTTTTACATTTCCGGCAACATGTTGTGATAAATGTCAGTTGTTATTACAGTTTGTCATTCTGAGCTCAGCTTAATAAATGCAACTTCTTAAGAGAAACCTCCTTTGATGCTTCAATCTTAAGTCATTCCTTGTCTCTCTTTGTTGCTCCTTATTGTTATTAATTCCTGATATTTTCATGTTAATTTGCTTAACTTTTGTTCCTATCTGCCCTCTTCCCATTCTGCCAAACTCTGGGAAAGTGATTCCAGGAGAACAAGGACTTTATCTAGTTCTGTATCCTTATAGCAACAAGCAATATCTTAGCCCTAAGCCATAAGAGTCACTATACATTAATGGTTGATAATAAATCAGCAAATGAAAAATGAAACCCTCTGGATAGTGAAAGAATGTTTTTTTTTAAGGGAGAGAGAGAGAGA